ACCACAGAAAGAATCAGGGAGGGGGAAAAATGGGGGTTATTTTAAGGAAAATGACTGTGTAACAGCTCAGACTGAGCCCTGGGAATGGCCCCTCCAGCCGGATCTGGGGCTAATCCATCCCAAGCCGGGCTGAGCTGGGACCTTCACCCTGGATCAGGGATCAGGGGGTTCAAAGTCCAGTTTGCACCTGGGAGGGGAAGAAGGGGAGCTGAGACAATCCCAGCATCCTTTAACTGGGATGTATGGGAGAGGCAGATGGGAGGATGGAGCAGGGAAGGTTTAATCCTGAAATTTTTGGGCCAGAGTCTCCCTTTCCCTGAATTTGGGGAGTAGAATCTCCTTGATCCTAAATTTTCAGAGCAGAATTTCCCTTTCCCTGAGTTTCAGGGCCAGAATCTCCTTCTCCCTGAATTCTGGGGCCAGAATCTCCCTTCTCTTAAATTCTGGGGCCAGAATCTCCCTTCTCCTAAATTCTGGGGCCAGAATCCCCCTCTCTACAAATTTTGGGGCCACAATCTCCCTTCTCCTAAATTTTGAGGCCACAAACTCCCTTCTCCTAAATTTTGGGGCCACAATCTCCCTTCTCCTAAATTTTGAGGCCACAAACTCCCTTCTCCTAAATTTTGGGGCCATAATCTCCCTTCTCCTGAATTCTGGGGCCAGAATCTCCCTAAATTTTGGGGCCAGAATCTTCTCTTCCCTGAATTTTGGAGCCAGAATCTGCTTTCTCCTAAATTTTGGGGCCAGAACCTCCCCTTCCCTGAATTCTGGGAGCAGAATCTCCCTTTCCTGGGAACCAGGGGAGATCCTAAGTGACCCCTGAGGACAGAACATCCCTGTGTCCCCTCACACCTCCATAGGGAACCAACCCCCAACCTCCCACTCCCCAGCAGATCCCAGCAACTCTTCCCACTCTCCCCAAACCCCCTCCCAAATCTTACTGGGGTGGGAAACCAGCCAGGTGTGGGTGTTTCCCCCCTGGATCTCCCCTTCCCAGCCCAGGGAGGGACCCTCTCACCTTCCGGGCGCGGCTGTTGGTGACAGGGAACTCGCCCAGGCTGTCGTCGTCCATGCGGGGGTCCGGGAGTGCCCGTTTCTCCAGGGGGTCTGTCCTCAGCAGGGCCTCCAGGCTGCTGCCATCCTGGGACATCAGCCCTTCCTTCTTCAAGCTCTGATCCGTGTCTGCAGGGAAAAAGGTGGAAAATCCAGCTGGGAAAACCAAGATCCCACCTCCCCCAGTCAACGTTCCCACCCTTCCCCACCACATTCTCACCCTTCCCCACCACATTCTCACCCTTCCCCACCATCAACCCTCCCACGACCCAGGGACCTTTGGGATTTCCAATCCCCCCTCATCCCTTTTTTTTGGGGGAGGCAGAAATGTAGGATGTACCTGGTTTGATGGAAGGGAAGGAAAGCCTGGGGTCCTCTGGAGGATGAGCACGACGTTTCTTCCTCCAGCGCCGGGCGGGGTAGGAGTAGAGCTGCCCAGCAGCCAAGCCTGCAATTAAAAACACCCCCTAATTAACCCCAGAATCCTCCAGGGTGGAAGGAACCTCTGGAGATCATCCAGGCCAAGCTCCTGCTGGAGCAGGATTTCCTGGAGGACATTCTGGTGGGAGGTGTCCCTGGCCATGCTACAGGTGGGACTGGGTGGTCTTCAGATCATGGAGCGGTTTGGGTTGGGAGGGACCTTTAAGGTCACCTGGAGAATCCACTAGATGATCTTCAAGGGGGGGTGGGACCTTCCAGGTCACCTGGGTCCCATGTTCTGTGGCAACCACAGGGGGGTGGAGGTGGGATGGGACCTCCCAGGTCATCTGATCCATCCATCTGCTCAGCTGGGTCACCAAGAGCTGCTTGTCCACAGATGGTGCTTGGAGCAACCTGGGCTGGTGGGAGGTGTCCCTGCCCATGTAGGAGAGTTGGATCTAGATGATCTTGAAGGTCCTTCCCACCCAAACCATTCCATGATCCTATGATCCTCTTGCCATTCCCCTATCAGACCTTTCCAGCCCTTTCCCTGAGCTCTCTCCTCAGCCTTCTGCTCTCAGCTGAGCAGTCCCAGCTCTCCCAGCCTCTCCACCCAGAGAGATGCTCCCACCCCACTTTGTTCCCTCCCCTGGACTCTCTCCACCAGTTCCCTGTCTCTCTTCAACTGGGCAACCCAGAACCGGTCCCAGTTCTCCAGCTGTGGCCTCTCCAGGGCAGAACAAAGGGGCAGGATGAACCTTTTGGGGAGTCTGCAGGGTCAGGGAGGTCCTAGGAGATTTAGGGGGGGCTGAGAGGTACTATGAGGGGATTCTGGGGGGACGTGTAGGGTCTGTGAGATTGTAGGAGGGGATTTAGGGGGGGTTGAAGAGGCTGAGGGGGTCTGTGAGGTCTTAAGGGGGATTTAAGGGGATCTTAGGGGGGTCTGCGTAGGGTCAGCAGGGTCCTAGGGGGACCTGGGGGGTCAGTGAGGACCTAGGAGGGGATTTAGGGGAGGTGTGAGGTCCTAGGAGATGATTTAGGGGGGTCTGAAGGGGATAAGTGAGATCCAAGGGGGAATTTGGGGGGTCCTAAGGGTGCTCTGTGGGGACTTTGTGAGGTTCTTGGGGGTCCCACAGAGGTTTTGGGGGATCCTGAGGAAGTTCTGAGGGCCATGGGGGTGCTTTGGGGGGTCCTGGGGAGGCTCTGGGGAGTCCCAGGGAGGTTTTGGGGGATCCTGAGGAGGTTCTGGGGACCATGGGGGTGCTTTGGGGGATCCTGGGAAGGGTCTGGGAGGTCCTAGAGGTGTTTAGGGGGGGCCTGGGGAGGTTTTGGCAGGTCCTGGGGAGGTTTGGGGGGGTCTCAGGGAGGGTTTGGGGTCTCTGTTCCCCAGCTGACCCCCTGTCCAGCCCCCACTGGAGACGTGGGATGAGCCCTGACCCAGCACTGAGCCCTGGGGACCCCTCCAACCTCCATCCCGACCCTCCGAGCTCTGTCCCTTCCCACAGGGGCTGATCCCACCCCCACCCATGGGTTCCCTCACTCTCATCCCAGGGCTCTTCCCCATCCTACCAGGCCCTCGGTGTCGTTTCTCCATCCAGATGTAGCAGTTGCTCTGGGCCACTCCAGTCTGGGAGTCCAGGAAGGGGAGACGGACGCTCCTCTCGGCGCAGAGCCGGGCGTTGTAGCTGTGACACTGTTCCATGGCATCCCGGTAGTACTGCTCCCCCAGGCTGGTGTTGGGGAGGAGAAGAAGGTTCAGCTCCAACCCTCAAACCTCCTGAACCCCAAATTCCAACCCTGGAGATTGGCCACGGGGAGAGGGAAACGCCACATTCCTTCTCAGAGACCCGCTGGGAGGAAGAAGAGCCCGGGATGGAACCTCTGGGAGGTGAGGATGGGACTTGATGGGGTATTTTGTGGGATCATGGGATGGGTTGGGTTGGGAGGGACCTTAAAGATCATCTAGATCCAACCTCCCACCAGCCCAGGTTGCTCCAAGCTCCATCCAACCCTTGGACACTTCCAGGGATGGGGCACCCACCTTAAAAATCATCTAGTGGATCATCCAGGTGGTGTGGAAGGTCCCTCCCAACCCAAACCATTCCATGATCTGAAGCTCATCCAGTCCCACCCCCTGCCATGGGCAGGGACACCTCCCACCAGCCCAGGTTGCTCCAAGCTCCATCCAATCCTTGGACACTTCCAGGGATGGAGCTTCCACAGCTTCTCTGGACAACCTCTTCCAGAGTCTCACCACTGAAGAACTTCCTCCTGATCTCCAAGCTCAACCTCCCTCTTCCAGTTTAAAACCATCATCCCTTGTCTTCTCACTCCTGCCCTTGTCCCAAGTCCCTCCCCAGCTTTCCTGGAGCCCCTTCAGGCACTGGAAGGTGCTCTAAGGTCTCTCTGGAGCCTTCTCCTCTCCACGTTGAACACTCTAACTCTCCCAGCCTGGCTCCATCATAGAGGTTCTGCAGCCCTCAGATCATCTTTGTGGCCTCCTCTGGACACCTTCCAACAGCTCCACATCCTTCCTGTGTTGGGGGCTCCAGAGCTGGACACAGAACTCCAGGTGGGATCTCCCCAGGGCTGAGCTGAGGGGCACAATCACCTCTCTCCATCTGCTGGTCACTCTTCTTTGGATATAGCCCAGGCCATGGTTGGCCTTCTGGGCTGCAACTGCACGTTGGTGGTTCATGTCCAGCTTTTGGTCCTCCAGGACCCCCAGGTCTGTCTCCAGTGTGTCCCCCCCCCAACCTGGACTCCTATCTCCAGTTGCATCAGCCCAGCTGCAGGACCCTGCACTTGGCCTCCTTGAACATCACAAGCTTCTCTTGGGTCCACTTCTCCAGCTCCCTCTGGATGACATCCCACCCCTCTGGCATATTGACCACACCACCCAGCTTGGTGTCATCAACAAACCTGCTGGTGGTGCCCTCAGCACCAGTGTCAGCACCATTAATGAGGGTATTAATTAATTAATTAGTCGCAGTACAGACCCCTGGGGGACACCACTTGTCCCCATTTTCCACCTGGACATTGAGCCACTGACCATTGTCCTCTGGATGTGACCATCCAAAGCTCCTTATCTACTGAAGAGTCCACCCATCCAACCTGTATCTCCCTGACTTAAGAGAGAAGGATGGTGTGGGGGACCTTGCAGAAGTCCAGGTTGGATATTAATGAGGGAATAATGAGGAGGAAGATGCCAGTGAGGAAGGCTGGGTGAAACATCCCACCCCATGGAGGAGGAGATGGAAACAGAGTCACCAAAGCATTCCAAGGTCAGCCAGGTGAGGAGGCACCCTGAGGGAAACCTCCAGGAGATGCCAAAAGAAAACCTGGAACCACCAAAAAACCACCAGGAGATGCCAAAAGAAAACCTGGGAATACAAAAAGTCCTGGGAGATGCCAAAAAAAACAAACCCTGGAAACTCCAAGAAACCATCAGAAGATGCCAAAAGAAAACCTGGAACCACCAAAAAGACACCAGGAGATGCAAAAAAAAACCTGGAAACATCAAAAAACCACCAGGAGATTCATGCCAAAAAACCTGGTACCAACAAAAAAACACCAGGAGATGCCAAAAGAAAACCTGGGAATACAAGAAAAAAACCAAACCCTGGGAAATACCAAAAGAAAAGGTCAATGAACATCTCCAAGTCCAGAAATCCCATCCAGTGGGATGGGCCTCCCTTGCAGGGCTCTCTAGGGAGCTGGGAGGGTGGGCAGTGGGGGGGGTTATAAACCACCCCAAGGGGATACAATCTCCCCCTCATATAGGGGGGATCCCAACCCCCAGTTTTTAGGGGTGTCTATAGCAGACCCCCCTGCTGGGGCTCTAAAGGCCCCCCCAGGGTGGGGAACCCCCATCCCAAGGGCACACTGAGGAGACCCCCCCACACCCTGCTCCTAAGGATCCATAGGGCACAACCATGTAGGACCATGAAGGAGGGACCCTCTTCTCCCACCAGAACATATGGGACCCCATTTGTGTGTCTGGGGGGGGGGGTGTCTCACTCATAGAGCCACTCACCCCCACCCTCAAGGATGCTCATACAACCCCCCCCCCCGCTTCCAGGCCCTAAGGGGGAAAACACCCCCAGGGTCCTGCCAGGATCTTAAAGGGGGAAAATTCCCACCCTACCCATTCCCTACGAAGAGGCTGAGGGGGGTAAGTGCATCCCTTGGGAACTGTAAGACCCTCTCACAGGGATGCATTGGGATGAGACCCCCCCTGGGCCTCCAGGAGACACTCACAAGGCCACACAGAGCAGACCCCGACTTTTGGGGCTCTATAGCCCCCTTTCCAGCGCACCCCACCCCCAGAACTCTATAAAACCCCTTTAAATCTCTAAATAAAGGGGGTTTTCCCTCACGGAACCGCACAGAGAAACTCTCTCCCCCCCCTCAAAGTTCCCC